CAATTCTGAGGAAGAGGGGGAGGCCTGGCACTATCATAGTGCGTCTGAAGAATCTGTTTGGAGAATTTAAGTCAAGGTGGAGATTTGTTGAATGCCTTGAATTGGGCCCTTAATTATCTGTCAATTATGTATTTTGGGCCCAAGCCTGTTAGGGCGTAGCTTAGCACTATATATAGACGCTATGGTAAACTCTATTTTGTAATTCTATTTTTGCCTCTCCATGATAAAATTGTCCCCCTCTTCCCGTGGACGTAGCCAATTTATTGGTGAACCACGTAAATCTGTTGTCTTGTTTTTCGCGTTTATATTTTCTCGTATTATATCAAATTCCGCACAACAGCATCAATTCCTGATATTCCAATAGATGTACCTGCAATATTTGCGGCTATTAGCCTTTGATTTCCTAGTTGAGACAGAACATTATTACTGCCCATATGTATCTCCCTCGTCCTCGTCTTCTTCCTTTATTAGAGGAAGAATTCCAGGATGGCCGCATTATCCTGTAAAAGAGTTTATTGAGTTAAATATTCTCTAGTAAGAAAGTTAGGGAGACTATTATCTGCTCCTTTTTATAATGTATTTCAAAATCAAATGGGGCTAATAAAGCTTGCCATCTTGCAAACATTTGTTTAGAAACATCGTGTTTTACATCTTTGCCAAAAATAAATCTAGCTGTTTGGCAATCATTTTTCATAATAAACTTTTGATTATATAAGGGCCCGTTTGGATGGGCTTAATAAAAGCAGCTTTAAAAAAGTACTTTTAAAAGTGCTGAAACTTATTTTTAAAATAAGCAGTTATGCGTTTGGATAAAAGTGCTGAAGTTGTTATGTCAAACGTGAAAAGGGAAAAATGGAAGAAAGAAATGTTAGAGTTATATGGGTAATTTGGAGATTGTATAAAAATATTAAGCACAAAAAGATAAAAATGTGGTCAACTTAAAACAACTTATAAGCTAAAAAAAAAAGCACCTCTACCCCAGCTTTTAACTTTTGGCTTAAAATAAGTTTTTTTTAACTTAAAATAAGCTGTTTTGAGTATTGCCAAACAGCTAAATAAGTCAAAAACCAATTTTTAAGTCAATTTGACCAGCTTTTAAGCTGAGCCAAACAGGCTCTAAGTCTCCTTGTAAAACACTTTTTACTATAGCTAAAATTTCTTTAGTTATCGTAGCATAATTTTTTTTTGACTATTATTCAATTTTCCTGAATAAAATTGTACAAGATATTCCTTCTGGTCGACATGAGAGATTTGCTTTAAAATTCCCCTATAGACAATATTAGAAGCATCTTTCTAAACTATTTTTTTCAAATTAGGATTGGCTAAAGTGAGACATGGTAGATTATTAACCTTTGTTTTGATATGTTGGACTGCTTTGGTATGGTCCTCAGTCAAAGCTTTAGGATTCTTTTTTATTCTATCATATAATATTGTTGTTTCTTTGGCTAAACCCTTTATAAAAAGAGAAATATAATTTAAGCTACTCAAAAGTTGTTGAAGTTGCACTTTATCAGTAATAATATTAGGAAATTTTGAAGCAAACTCAATACTTCTTTGGATAGGATTAATTTTTTCTTTTTCAATATTATGACCCAAGAATCTTACATTTGTTTGAAAAATATGCCCTTTTGGTTTAGATATAACTAATCCATTTTGGATAATAATTTTCTTGAATAAATCCAGATGTTTAAAATGCATTTCCAGAGTCTTTGAAAACACTAGAATATCATCTATATACACAATGATAAAATTGCTAAATGGATTTAAAATATCATTCATAATTTTTTGAAATTCTGAGGGAGCGTTTTTTAATCCAAAAGGCATGATATTCCACTCATATTGTCCTATTGGGACGTTAAAGGTTGTTTTATATTTATCCTTTTCAGTGATTTGGACTTGCCAGTATCCTGATTTTAAATCGAATTTTCAAAATATGATGACTTTATGAAGTCTATCTAAGAGATCTTTTTTATTGGGAATGAGTATCTAATCCATTTTAAAACTTTATTTAAAGATTTATAATTTATTACAAGACTAGGTACCCTCTTTCTTGTTCTGCTTGTTTATTAACATAAAAAGCAGTACAAAACTATGGTGATTTTGAGGGTCTTTTATTAAACCCTTTTGTAAGAGAATATTAATCTCATTTTTAAAGAATTCTAAATATTCTGAATTCATTTGGCAGGTTCTTGCTTTAGAGCCTGTTTGGCTCAGTTTAAAAGCTGGTTTTTGATTTATTTAGATGTTTGGAAATACTCAAAACAACTTATTTTAAGTTAAAAAAAAACTTATTTTAAGACAAAAGTTAAAAGCTGGGGTATGGGTGTTTTTTTTCCCCATCTTATAAGCTGTTTTAAGTTGACCACATTTTTACCTTTTTGCCCTTAATATTTTTATACAATCTCCAAATTACCCACATAATCTTAACATCTCTTTCTTCTATTTTTCCCTTTTCACGTGTGGATGATAGACAATTACTATTACTAATGAATGAAAATAAAATAAATCTTAAATCTTTCAAGTGATCTATTCAAATTATATATTATTAAAACGTAAAATAAGTTGCACATATAACTTAAATAAAAATTTATATTCCTCTTATAAATAATTTGTGATAATAAAGAAATATGT